GGAGACTTGAAAACAAGGTATACCGTACTCCAGTTCAGAATATTGGAGAACTGCGTGACCGAATCACAGTGGATGTCGATAAATTGAGCCTTCAGGCACAGCAGGAATGAGGTGTATTTGAATTAGTGGAAGCAGTTTTGAACAGCTTTTATGAGTGAACTGTTAAACTGTATTTATTATTTTATTAGCTCAATTTTTGTAGGACTTTTATTACTTTTTTTTTGGAGAAATCAACTTCTTTCGTAACAGTGCATATGTGGTCAAAATTTGTCGGAGTAGTTGTAAAGCACCCTGTATAGTTTCTAAATTATTTTTGCATCTTCCGTGTTCTACCTACAGTGATCGCTTGAAAAATGCATCTATACTCATGAGCGTGTATGTAATTAAAAGAGCAGAAGAAAACCACAAAAACCGCTGTGTAATTTTTTGGTAACAAGCTCAGGCAATCATAAACATATAAATATCCACTCTATACAAAATGGCGTCAAGTATGATGACTCTGCAGTTCTCACACAATGGTGTCATCCCTACTAATAATATGAATGAGAAAGTGTGGACGTTTGTTACTCAATCACGCCAAAATGGCTGAACGGATCGGGATTAAATTTGGTAGAGAAATATATTATAGTGTTGAATAGAACATACCTTTCATGCTTAGAAATAACTTTGAAATATGCATTTGACCGGCTACAGCCCAAACGGCTTAACGGAATTTGACATGAAGTGTCTGGCGCGTAAGCACTCAGTCGTTGGTCCGACCGAAATGAGTAAGGGTATATAAATGCGGCATTTGCATCATGAATTTACCAGGACCAGGACCCACCAGGATCAGGCAACAAAACAGGTAGAGGACTTGAAACTCTTGATTTTTCGAAAACAAGAGTTTCAAGAGAACGCAGCAGACCCTCTATCGATGCTCGCTTAACGACATCGATAGAACTGTGCGAGGTAAAGGGAACCAACCCGGCGTTCCCAAAGACCGAAACACATGAGGAGACGTTGTAGCAGACCACAGGTCACGCACAACACATGGCCTTACCCAGACGCTGATGAGTCGGGCCACGCGGAGGTTCGGGTTTAGTGGGTATTAGGTAGTCTCCTCAAGACAACCTGGAGTCCCACACACGCCGTAGCTCGGGCTATGGTAAGGTGCCTAAATGCATTCCCCCTCACAAAAAAAAGTGAATTCACTCCATCTCGATATTTGTTCTTCAGGCATAATCTTCTTGGTTTTACTGCAAGTATAATATTGCAAATAATTAGTTATTGGATTATTAATTCTGTGTAGTTCGGTATATCCGTCTCTATATACTTGTATAAACGTGGTTGTCTAGCCAGTCTGTCAGCATCACATCTGAACCACAATACTGAGAGACGTAAAACTGTGTATATTTACTAATTAATACACTATAAAGGTTGAAGTAATAATTTTATTCACGAACAATATTGTCGATTTTGCAGTCAACTGTCGTAACAAGTGCCAAAACCTACACTGTCATCGCGGCAGTGCGGCCAACCATCGCCTCACTCAATCTGTGATGTCCAGTGATACAGATATTTTATTTTGCACCAGCTGTTGCTCGCGAACGCTCGAAACTGGTACTAAGACCAAACCAAACCAGAATTCGCCAAGAATGTCATCCATATCCTTTTGACGAAGGTTATAAATAACAGCATAAGACTCACCACCATACCGTTGTCGCGCTGCCTTGCTAAGCGCATCTACTGTCGCGTATACACAATATCCTTGGTATCGCACATTTGCACACCATTACCTGTCCTCCGATATTAGACCAACCGACTGATAAGGGGCGACATACAAGAGTGCGCGACAATGTAGACCACAGACCTAACGGCACCTAGACCTAAACATGTTGGTGCGCAAAGGAGCTTCAGCTTAACATGTTTATACAGGAAGGATCATACATTTGTTAATATTTCATAAAACTGTTAGCATTGAAAAGTGTTTATATTGAAAATAAACACAATTTATTGAAATTTGCTGCTTTGTTATGATGTGTCATTCTTTGAAACTCATTTTGTCCACTTCCCACTTTGTAAATCAATTATTTTCTAGCACCCCACGGAATCGTTCAAGGAGTCCGTTTCGAGTGGTGGAGGTGAAAGCTGAAGAGCGGGGTGGGGGTGCTGGCGTCGTCTGCTGCACCAATATTTTTTTTTTGAGAGGAGGAAATGTACTTACCTCATTCACTAAAATCCCCTCTTTTCTAGACCGCGTCCCATCTACGGCTTGCGGCTGTATCCATCGTAGATGCACTAGTGCTTCTTAAATAAATGCTCTTATGACAACTGAAGAGCGAGGACAAAAACTATCCATTGCAACGCCCCCAAATCAATGCATCAGCCCCAATTTTCTTCATGTTCTTTACCGCCCCTCAACGGTCCACAACGCTTACAAGGGGGCTTTATTGCCCACTTTGGAAAACACTAAGCTAGATGAATACTGTTTCGACATTGTCAAACTTTCAAAGACTCATCGGCAAAAAAGCAAAATATGGTGAGATAAAGGAATAGGTATCATTGGCGTCGACACCAGAAAATCAGGTTTTATAGAAATGTTTATTTTATCGATTTTTTATTTTCATTATAGCCAAAAGGAGGATGGGCATTCAGGTACCTAGTCCAATAGAAATAAGTGAGTTACCGCTGGATAGATTTTCTGCGGATTCGTTTTGAAATAAGGGATTTAGTCTGAGAACGTATTACAACAGATGTCTGTTGAGTTAAGTATGAAGCATATAAATAGAGTATTTTGTCAAAGCGTATTAGCTGAGAATAGATCAAATATTAATAATCCGTATCTTTTCATTACAATTTTCAGTTCAATTGCTTTTTACCAATACCCTTTTACCACGTACGTAACATTTATCGCCCCACTAAAATTATTCTGGATGGTGATTTTTTTTGTTCAATTAAGTGAAAAGCTTGCTATGAAGCTATAATGGAAAACCTCTTGTTTTGAAAATTATAGTGTCACTAATATGCTACTGTATATTTTAATAGCTGCTAGCGTGATTTTACCAAAAGTTCGTAAAACAATTAGTGATCTACGACGTTCAAATCCACGTGCCTCTTTTGGTCAACAGGCGAATAGGTAAGGAAATCTAATGCCCATTATATCGTAAAATCCCACAGTTCTACACCCCAAGCTATAAAAAATAACCCCATCACACTTTTGTTTGAATGGTAAATGTATGTACATCACGTGTGTAGTCTCTTATCTATTTATGCATAATATTACTGGGATAAGACACTTTTCAGTGATAGTAAGTCTTTCGCCGATACCATACCGCTGATATAAATATCAGCCGCATGCCGATGATCTGCGCGAAGGTATGTTTGAAGGTGTATTAATGAGATCAGAACCTTTTTCACAATAAAACGTTTTTTGTTGATACTACAAATGCAAAATTTACAACCCTCCACACCCTACAACCCCCAACCCCCAAATATCAATTTTTTCTGAAAATGTGTCCCCACCACGTACAATCGCCAGCCTTAACATTTTATTAATTGATGTAATTTTTTTGATAATGAGTAGGAGTCTCTGAAATATCAAAAGACGAAGTTAGCGACTTTTATTTTTCTCATTTCATTGCCAGTAGCTCCGCCGCCACTTGATCTATTTTCAAAGCCTACAAAACTTTTGCGTCTCGTTAATAACCTAAAGCCAGACAACAGTCATGTCACATAACACCCAAAAACAATACGGAAAAGTTTCCTTGACAATTGTCGCGGGATATAAATGAAATGAGAATAATGCAACAATAAAAAATGCTAACCATCTGGCTACAGCAGGATTTCCCTACCTTTTTTTTGTTGAGTTGAGTTGAGAGTATATAAATTAAACTTTCGTGCAACCGTTTACTTTTTCAATAAATACCAAAAAACGCACATTATATACATTGGTACAAATACTTGAATAAGTATGTACTAATGATACACTTGAGATTGCATGTTCTCTACCGGTTGGTTGATTCTAGGTTCTGTTTTTGCCAGAGCTAATATCAGGTCGCTATCGACATCAAGACGATTTCTCTGTTTAGTTTTAATTAAAACTAAAGCAGAAAAGACTGTCTCCCATAAGTAAGTTGAATAAAAAGGAACTAGTATTCGTAAAGCAAAATTTCTCCAATGTTAAAAGATGGAAGTCATCTTTCATGGACGAATCAGCCTTCATTTCTGGAAATTCTTCCTGAACTGCTTCTGGTAATTGTGACACATTGAGATCAAATGGATTTCTTCTCAAATGCCATATTGGTGACTCTGAATTGATGTATCGATAGTATCGGCGAAATTCGGCTTCCAGCGCTTGCAAATGAGTTTTTATGTTAGCTTTTAAATTAGCGTCCATTTTCAGAAGACACTTTTTGATTCCAAAGTTGAAGCTTTGATATGAACGAAGGAATTTAACCATAATTGCTTATTATAGTGTTGTTTCTGCCCAGAAGTTTCAAGTTTAGTTCATTTAAGGAGTCAAATATGCCAGTTAAATAATCCAACTTCCATTGAAATGTGTAATCTTTGAACATTGTCAAGAAATCGTGTTTTTCTTTGAACTACAGAAAAAGAATTACCTCTTCTTTCAGTTCATAAAGGCGAGCCAACATGTTGGCTTTGGATAGCCAGCATACTTCTCGAACAGAAGAACTTTCTGATCAGAATCGAGATCCTCGCAAAGTAAAGTAAATAACCGACTGTTCAAAGCGCTGCTCTTAATGTAGTTTACAATCCTTATAGCCGAGTCCAAAGTCTGGCGTCATTTCTGTGGCAATGTTTTGGAAGCCAAAGCTTGCCGACAAATAACACGATGTGTACTAACCATTGCGGGATTTTTTTCCTTGAGCTTTTTAGCTAAGCCCGATCGTACACCTATCATTGCAGGTGAGCCATCTCTGCAAAGTCCAATGAGTTTTTTCCAATCCAAATAATTTTTTTCAACAAAATTTGATATTGAATTAAATATATCTTCGGATCTAGTACCTGCTGTCAAAGATTGGGAGTACAAAATCTCTTTTTGAATAATATCTCCGCCGACATAAACAATTAACTGTCCACAATTAACGATGTCGGTGGATTCATCGCAACTAATGGCAAAAAATGGCGATGATTTGACTTTGTTAATTATTTGTGACTTTATGTCTGATGCAATGTCATCGATTCTACGCTTGACTGTGTTATTCGAAAGAGACACAGACTTCATTATTAGCTCTGCATCTTTTCCTAAAATTATCTGCGTGGCCTTTAGGACACAAGGTTTTATTAATTCTAGTTTTGAAACAGCGGTTGACAGAATAAGTGATGTTTAATTTCTAATTTGTAAATTAAACATTACATTGTAATGTTATTTGTTAATGTTGCTTGTTTATTTTTTATTGTTTTTTCTTTCTAAAATGCAAACGCTTTCAGCCCCCATTGACATCTCTCTATGCCCCCTTGGGAAGCGCACCCCCCTGGTTGGGAACTCCTGGTCTACAGGAACATCTACACGCTGGACATAGTTCAGAAAATATAACAAATTTTTCCCTATCTGACTTTCCAAATGCATCTTGAATTCAAAACGACGAAGCGCACATCTAGCCATCTATGCCTCGTTGGTATCAACCGATTTCCATATAAACTCTTCCCAGAGTGCATGCAGTATTTCATCGTTTTACGGAGGAGAACACACTCCAGGGAACGGCCACCGTAAGACGGAAGTGTATCGGGAACGACAGGAAGGATGGGAGAACTGGAGTTACTGGAAATCGGGACAAGCCAGGTGTAAGTGTTGTATATTCTGTTTTATGGGGACTTGTCGTGCATGGCAGCGATAGTGGTGCTTCTACACAGCCTGATAGATACGACAAGGTAGGCTACGGTCAATTTGGATATCCATATAAAGGAAAGCGAAATGGTTAGTAGCTGTTACCCGCTCTCGAATGTTGGAAGCTTTAAGTATGTATATGGTAACTGGTTACCTATACCTATAGCAGGTTAAAGACTGAAGGCATTTTATACTGTATCTGTTGTCAATATAGAACAATTTTGTTCAGCTTGTCCTTGTGAAGGACTATTTTACTCCACATGCACGCAGGCAGTGAAAAACCATACAATCAGAATTGGGATACGGTATTGTTTGGTGAACATGTTATTTTGTTTATAAGAAATAGCGTTAGGATATTTCCCCCCGGAGCTCTTTTGCGAATAGTTTTAAAATAAAAGTTGTGAATGTATGTGAGGGGAGTAGAGAATGTTGCAACATTAAAAATTATGGGTATGTTCCCAAAACTCACGTATTCTACCTGAAAATAGCCCACCATACCTTCCGACATCAAAAAAATTATCTAAACGCTACTAGCGCCATCGATAAAACAGAAGCAGAACACAAAAAATGGTGTCAAGTAGGTTGACTATGCCATTCCCACGCAAACATGTAATCAGTTCATCAAAGAAGTATGTTCAGCACTGCTCTCCGATACGTAACTCGGTCAGGCGCGGCAGTGACACCGGAACACTTCGCCAGACTGGCACGCCGCTGGGATCAGAAGCCGACGAGTATCCAAAATGTTTCTATTATTTTAAGTTTTAAGGGTAAATATACTGGGAAGCCTATGATGGATGGAATTATGTCTTATATCTGCGTAGAATTAACGAAGTTGGAAGCAGATCAATATACCAACATCAAAAAATTCAGATGTACCCTCACCAAATAAAGCTTTTTTACCCTTAGTAGTATAGTAGTAACCTAGTATCGAATTTTTAGCAATTTCTGAATGACCGCTTCCAACTGTATCCCATTTTGCTCCCGCTAGATGGCGCATGTGTGGTTGGAGACCAAAAAGTAGATGAGAGAAAACAGATTTGATAGAAAGAAATAGTTATTTATGATACAAGGGAAAACAGTACTGGATTTTAGGAGGGAGAAAAAAATTCGAAATCTAAGATCTAGTATTTTTCCCGTGGATAATACACATTTTTTTTTCTGGGACGGGAAAAACAACGATTTAATATTAAAAAATTATATTATTACAATATTTAAGTCTGAAAATTATCAATGTGAAATTTGAATTTTGAAATTAGTAGGCTATGTTGTACTTATAGCGCCAATTAGACCTGCGTTGCTAAAGAAACTTTCAAAGTAACCAAATAGCTGTCAATTTGAATTTGTGATTTGATTTAAAAACTGTTTTCTTTGACTCCACCGGAATTAGTAGAAGTAGCCAAGGTAGTGTCACAAAAATTATTGCCGGCTAAATCGTTTATACAATATACGGGAAAAAAGTACTCATTTTTTTTAGGAGAAAAAGTAATTTTATAAAAAGTGACATTTTGTTACTTGTGAACAGAGATAGAATGTCAAACTTTTTTCCCGTCACAGAAAAAACTTATTTTTAATGACTTTATTTTTACGTCTATTGACGTGAACTACGGCAATGTCGCCTCAAATTTGATTTTCCCTTTTTAAATTTTGTCTTCACTGGACAATTCATCAATTGCATGTATAATCACCAGCCTCTTGCATACGATGTGCTTTGTTGTGGACACGTATTTATCCTGAGGTTGCCTCGCTGACACTGAGCATTGTTCACAGACCACGTTGACTGCCGTTTCACACGGGCGTTAAATTCTCGCGCGTTTAGTATTATGTATAGTTGGACCAGCGAAAGATTGCAAGCCGAAAGAATGCGGACAAAAAATTGCGAAGTTGTCAGATGTTCTACATAAAATGCGGTCCATACATATTAACATATTTAAGATATAGAATTGTTCCGCTGAATTTGGCAATGTAGCTGGAAAACCCAGGCCGCAGGTAAACATCCGGTCGCTGATTGGTCCAAAACTCTTATCTTATCTGAAACTAGAATAACGTGCCGATGGCACGGTCATTTATAAACCTACTCCCATAGGCGTAGGCAGTTGGCAAATACTTTGAAAATATAATTTACTGTTTAGTGGTGATAATGGAATTCAAGCATGGGAAAGTTATTCACAGCCAGGCAAGGGAAATAATAGCAAACGTGATACGTGCTTGCGATGCAGAAGCGGCTAACAATACTTTCGTTTATCCACTGGTAGCTAGAAATGCAAGGGCGGCATATTATACGGGTGTTAGTGAACGAACTATAAGTAAAATTAGAAAAGAAGATAAAGACAGGCAAAATGCAACCTCCACACAGCCTTTAGCTTCTCCCGGAAAAAAGAGATCACGCCCTTCTGTGATCCAAAAAATTGATGGAGTCGATTTTTCCATTATTCGGAGAATGATAGAAAAATTTTACTGTGATTTTAAAGTGGTACCTACTTGTAGTAAACTTCTAATCAAACTGAAGGAAGAAATGGAATTTCCATTTGGTAAAGAATCGTTGAGGCTGCTTTTAAAAGCAAAAGGATTTTACTGGCGTAAATGCCACAACAAAAGGAAATTACTAATGGAAAGACCCAGTATTTTACATTGGCGATACAAGTATCTTAGGTCTATTAAAAAGTTCCGGGAAGAAGGAAGGCATATTATTTATTTGGACGAAACTTGGGTTGATAATGACCTCACTTTCAAGAAATGCTGGCAAAGCGAAGAAATTATGGGTGTCCTGAGCAATATAAGTTCTACAGGTAATAAAGTTTCTTTCACCTCGATTTTGCTTATTATACATTTTTCTCAATTTTGGAATATTCTTAATAAGTGCTCATTTAATTTGTCTAATTGAATACATAATCCCTTGCAAGTATTTTTTTCTCAAAAATATGTTTTTTATACATAGTGATTCAAAAAGGTGTTGGCAAACTTAAAATAACACTAAAATGAGGCTATTTATTCATTTCCAGGACGACTTATAATTGTTCATGCGGGTTCGCAAGATGGTTTTGTTCCTGGAGCCTGTCTCATTTTCAAGGCTGGCTGTGCCACTGGTGATTATCACGGTCAAATGAACCAAGAAAATTTCACGAAGTGGCTTACTGAAAAACTATTTCCTAACATTCCTCCTAATAGTATTATAATAATGGATAATGCACCTTACCATTCAGCTTTGGAAGACAAGCCTCCAACTAGATCTTCTCTAAAAAGAGACATCATCACGTGGTTGAGCAAAAAAGGTATAGAGCATGATCCTAATGCTAAAAAAATGGAGCTTTATGAAATAGCTTGTCTACATAGGCCACCATCTGATGAGAAAAATTATAAGATAGATAATTTAATAAGAAGTTTCGGACACACCCCACTTCGAACGCCACCCTATATGTGTCAGTTTAATCCCATAGAGATGATTTGGGCACAAGTAAAATTTTTCATTAGAAGCCATAATACAAGCGGCGAATTTACTATAAAAAAACTAGATGAAATTTCTAATAAGGCCATCGCTTCAGTAAGTGCCAGTGACTGGCAAAAGGTTATTGGACATGTTATAAAAATTGAAGATGAATATTGGGAAAAAGACAGTCTCATTCAAGAAATACAGGAAGAAATAATAATCAACATAGGAGGTGAAAGTGATAGCAATGACAGTTCCTCAGACAGTGATCATGACTCTAATCAGGATTGAAACTATACTAGATTGGCTACCTTTTAGAATTTTTAGATATTCATTTATTATACTATTGGTTTGTGGCTTTTAGTATCTCAGTAGAAAGTCTAATTCTATGTGTTGTTTATGGGTTATTTCATCAAGAAATTACTTTTTGTTTTCCTATATTTTTCTATTCAGTCAGATATTTTTGACTTGTTGTATTCTATTTTAGAAGAATGCATAATTTGTTTTGCTGTTCAATCATAATGCGTACATAGGAATATTACTTGTTGCCTAAAAAATATATTTATTTTGTTCTCAATATTCAGTGTTTGTGTATATTTATTTCTTATAATGTATGTTTGGTATCACGTCATTATGAATCGCAAAAAAATATTAATACTACCAGTTGTAATAAAATATAAATTCAATTAATAATTCAAGTCTCTCCGATCTCCGCCTATGACTCCATATAAAATCGTCTAATGGTAAGGTTTTTTCATCGCATTTCCCCCTTTCGTCCCTAGCAATCTTTGGCTGGTCGATCAATAGATGGAACAGGCTAAGCTGTCGACGGGCGTTCAATGAAACGAGCGTTGTATTGGGTGACGCCGGTGTCATGTAAAACATTTATCAGTAGCGCGACAATTTGACCCGTGCGTATTAGCCACAATAGTGTAAGTAGATATTTGACCAGTTCAAACCATTTTTTGCTATCT